AGCCAAACGTAATGAGACGGTCAACAACTTTTCCAAAGTGCTGAAGCATGTACCCAGTGATCTCCTGAAGTAAGTTTAATTTGTATAAAACTGCTCATTATAACATCATTTCACAACATAACTCAATTTCTTCTCTTTTTCAATTTCGCAGGAGAGCTTTCCTGAAGATGTGCAACAGCCCTGAGGCCTTTCTTTCCTTGCGCTCACACTTCATCAGCTCGCATGCCTTGCTCTGTGTGAGCCACTGGATTCTAGGTATTGGAGACCGCCATCTCTCCAACTTCATGATCAACATGGAAACAGGAGGCATGATCGGCATCGACTTTGGTCATGCATTCGGTTCAGCCACACAGGTTATTCTTGTTTGTTGCATTTAAAATGAATGTTGAAATATTTCAGTCGGCACCAAAGTGGTAACCTGACCTATTATAAATAAATTGTATTTCCTCACAGTTCCTCCCTGTGCCTGAGCTCATGCCATTCCGGCTGACACAGCAGTTTGTGAATCTAATGCAACCATTGAAGGAGTCGGGTTTGATCCAGAGCATCATGGTACACTCCCTCCGAGCCTACAGAGCTGAGCCAGACCTTTTGCTGAACACCATGGATGTGTTCGTCAAGGAGCCCTCGCTGGACTGGAAGGTAACCAATCACTCCTCCCTCGAAAAGATCCTATTAAACATTGAATTTCTGATTTGTCACTGTGCAACAAGTGAACTGCAGATTATAAGGCATTAGTATAGGCAGGGGTGCACATCACTTTTTTGCCCTGGTTCTCAAAGGAGCACCTGGAGATGTTGCTTGATGCGCATCCTTAAAATGAAATAAACCGGACCTTTTGAGGGGTACTTGACTTTATGAAGGGGGGGAGGTGCGCTAGTGAGCACGCAGCAGGGTTACTTTGTGGAGCGCATTAAGCAGACCCTTCAGGCGATAGCGAGGGGTAGAGCGAGGGATCGCAGATGCCGTGGTGCTCGTGGACGGATTAAAACAATTAAACCTAAATGGCTCGCGAATTATACTTTGGCGGCCGTTAATATACCTGGGCGGCCCGCCCAAGTAAAGTCTGTGTGGGAAACCCTGCTATCTTTCCAGTTCTTATGCAACTCGCAAATATCTCTCTCTTCTCTCTTTTCTATCTCTCTCTTCTCTCTTTTCTCTCTCTCCCTCTCTCAATGTTGGTGCGCAAATGCGCCTTTTTTCAAATGATCAGAATACTTGTAAGTAGTTGTAATATTTGACACAAACATGAAATGGAGACCTTTTTCTAATACTTCACACAAGAAAGTACATTACATTAAATACATTTATTATTTATTATTTACATTTATTTACATTTCAAACTGAACTACAAATGATGTTTCTCTTACAGAACTTTGAGTTGAAACAGCTGAAGAAAGGAGGCACATGGACAGAAGACGTGAACACCAAAGAAATCAACTGGTACCCCCTGCAGAAGGTGAACTTTGCCAGAAGAAAACTAGAAGGAGCAAATCCAGCTGCTATAACCAGGTATATAATCACATACGGTATAATCATCACAATACGTCAAATGAATTACATTTTATTATCTAAGTTCTGTTTCAGAGGCTTTTTTGAGCCTTCAAAATGGCATCATTTGAATTGGACATGTGTGTGATTAGATGTTGTTTTGTTTTTGTCAGTGAGGAGCTGAAGCTGGGCTTTGAGAAGGACGCTTCTTTCCCAGGGCTCCAGTCTGTGGCCCTGGGGAGTGAGGAGCACAACATCCGTGCTCAGCTTCCAGCTGCAGGCCTGTCAGTGGAGAAGCAGGTGGACTGTCTGCTGGACCAAGCCATGGACCCAAATGTGCTTGGCAGAGTTTGGCAGGGCTGGGAACCATGGATGTGATTGGTTTTCAATTACAATAAGTAGGAAACAAGTCATTGCTGGATAGTCGCACAGACTTTGGAAAATGTGTAGGAAAAGGAAATTGGGGAACATTGTTTAAAAAAATATCCTTGTAAGGTCAAATGTTTTGTCTTTTGTACCTGTGAAAGATAATTTTTGAAATATGAAAAGGATTTGGCAGTATCAGCATATTATTGGCCACTTTCATAACATTTCAAAACGTTTGTGTGAGAATAGTACAAGTGAAAAGATTCTTGTTTTAACATAAGGGCATAAATATTTTGATGTTGGCAATTCCTTGCACTTAAATTCTACTGGAACAGGACCAATCTTTACCATCCTTTATTTCTGTCTTGTAACTTCAGTTTGAACAAAAAAATAAATGTGAGATGCTGATGTAAAAAAAGATACTATCACTTGGGTCGTCTATTTTTAAACTTTTTAATATTGTGAACTTGGGAAAATACATAATATTTTAGATTTTTACGATACAACAAATTCATTCATTTTTCATTGCACGAAAAACTTTAACCATCATTTAAAAAGCATTTTAAAGAAGCTAAGGGAGCAGTGACTTTGTAACAATATTTTATTGGCTATCAATTCAAGGCTCAAGCTCAAAACGTGTACAAGTCTACACAATATTTGTATGGACAATAATGACATCAGCATAGGTCACACAAAGACCTATGTTACATATCGCCTTTACACATAAGTTCATTCAAATACAAAAACTTGTCAGCCAGAACATCCCCAAGGTTTTGAGTTAGGGAGGATGGTTTAGCTGTCAAAACATGGTGCAAGTCCAAAGTGCTGTCTGCGTACTGGCTATAATGTGTGAGAAAAGTCTCTTTGAGTGCCTCCTTTTCTGAGCTAGTAGTTTTAGAATAACCAGACACTAACTATGTGTATGTATACCAGGCTTTCTCTATGTTGTTCACTGGAATTTGGTAGACACCAGCTGCCCATTTCATTTCCGCACGAAAGTAGTCAAGCTTAACATCAAGAGCTTTAATGTCAGAGTAAACAACATTAATTGGGTCTGCTTGTGGTGCTAGCAACAGCATGGATTTAATCCCTCCAGCAATCTGTCCCCCAACTATTGGTACAGGTTCTATATTAGCAACAAGTACCTCCCCAACCCCCCTACAATTGTTCTTAAACCAATTTCTTATCTTTTCACACTTCCCTTCTCTGCCTCCACTTTCATGCCCTTGTGTGTCCTTGGTCGTCAGAAGTCTCCATCGGAGTGTCTGGTGGATCGCTAAGGACAGGGAGGCAGGAGGACATCGACAGCAGAAACAGCAGGCCAGGAGTCCACATGATTGACAACATACAAACAATATGACAATAACTGTAATTACCTTTTTATGGGTATAAGTACATATCGATGATTATAAACCAACATCTGAAATATTTTTGTTCAAGCGTTCTCCTTTGTCCGTCCATGCTTCAATAGTCACATTTTCAGATTAGGAGCTTCACTTGTAGACACAACAACATGACACAACATTTTAACAAAATGTTTAGTCTCTTAACATAGACAACAGACCTGGAAGGAGGCTTAGAGCGCTGATCAGCCCGTGGAATGGATGCTCAGAAGGCTGATGGCCCTCGGAATGGTCGGAGAGTTGAGTTTTTGGTTATTTAGGAGCTCAATTAAGTTTTGGAGATGGTTTCAGATCTGGAGTCTTTATAGAAAACTGACCAGTCCCACCTCATTGATAAGGCAGTTTTGTATCCATATTTGGCCTGATGGAGTTGGAGGGGTGGCTTTGCCTTATACAGTGGAACAGAAGGAGGGACGTTATTAATTCATGGTATTTATTTTAGTGCTTTTCCAAGTGTTCAAAGAGCTTTACATTACATATTACATATATTAATACATTTAGGGTGAGGTGTCTTCCCCAAGGACACATTGGCATGTTTTCTGCAGTGGCGGTCAGGGTAGGATTGAACCTGTGATCAGCGGTCTAAACCACTGCGCCACAGCCAACCCTTATTGACCTGAAATAATCCTATTCCTGATCCTAATCCGTATACAATAAAGTGAAATAATAAAACATATTCTGGATTCAACTATAATAAACACCTACAATTTTTGCTAAAGGACACAAAATACTTTCTAAGTGCCAGACAGGGTTTTTATGACATCCCTTTACTATGATAGCATTACAGAAAGTGTCCATTAACTGTCTACAAAAGTATTGAAGTGGAACAAACTGTACAAAAGCAAATTGTCCTTCCATGTACTAGTAATTAGCATTTGTTTTGTAACGCTTGGCCGTGTGAGATGGGAAGCATTTGTTGTACTTCTGCTGTGGTGCATTAGGTCAGTGACATTCCACTAGAGCCAACAGATAGCTAATCTCTTCACACAAGATTGGGAGTCCAAAAAGAATACACATAAAGCCACAGGGGGTATGTAAATGTGAAATTATAAGTAAATCCTCTAAAAGGAAAACTCGAAATGTATAGGACTAATTTATATCATTGTCTGTGATTATGAGTTACCCGCTGTAGGTCATCTGGATCAATCTCTAGGACTCTTTAAGGCTTCAAATATAAACTTTTGTAAAGTTGAGCCATACAAAAAGCAGAACTGGTGTTACCTTTAACTGAGATGTTAACCAGCTTGATGTAAGACAGGAAACCACGGGGGGGAAAGCAGAACTGATGAAGCACTAACTGGTTTCGAATTTCATCAGATAGGATCTGCAATAAGTTACTAAAATCCTCCAGAGCTCTGCTGAGGGCTTTCTGCATTATGTTATGAGATGTTGTAATATCTTTGAGGCCATTTGGAATGCAACTGTTTTAAGAGATTACAGAGAACACCTTGTACAGTTTATGATTATGTAATTAAAGCATTAAATACTTAAAAATGACACACATATTTTACAAATAGTTTGTTATCTGTTATCCAGGTCTGGTATGCTATATCAAAGGTGCAATCTTGAACTTATTTCACATGAACTGTGCTAAACTAAACGGGCCTAAAACCCACGCACACACACACAAACGTCAGTTAATCAATTTTTTTAATAGATAATACAATTTAAAATAGGGAAACAACAGTATAATTGAAATATAACTATCAAACTCAATATTTCAGTAATGTTGACCTTTACTTTTCCAAATTTGATCAAAACAAGTGTTAGTTATTTATTTTGTTTGTGCACAGAGATGGTAATCACTCACACATCCCCGATCGAGGGGGACAGACGTTATTATTATCAGATAGCTATTAGTGTTAAAAGCTTGATGATGGTGTATTTACAGAGCTAGGTCATTTGTTGTAGTGTGTTCACAGTTTACTCAGAATTATTCAAGTAGAAATTGGACTTTCTCTGGAATTACCGCTGAGGTAATTCAATGTGCATAATACTCCATTTCTTGTTGTTACTACCATGGTCGACATGGCTATTGCATAAGACATCAATCACCATAGAATAATAAGGTCATGGGACACATTGCAATCCCATTCGGATAAGGGGACAAAGTAACAAGAAAATCTGAAAAATCACCTGAAAACTTTGCTCATTCAAATTATTAGTCATTTTCTATGTAGTCGAACTGAGGCTTGCAGGGTTTTTCCTCCCTGTGTTGCCATGTGTTATTTAAATACATGGATTTACAAACCAAAGTAGAACGTAAATGGTACAGAATAAAAAAAGGAAATTTGAACAAAAGCTTTTTTCTCAACACAAATTATTTCACCGTTAGTTATTACTTTTTTTTATATAAAAATCACATTTGTACTAACATAACAAATACAAAATATCAAGTAAAATATGTAACAACCCACTGCAAAAAGTGACAGAGGGGAAGAAACAACAGCTGTTGGCCAACAGGACCTGGGTTACAGACATGCTGTTTTTGCTGAGGCACCTTCATATATCAGCACTACCAATAGTCTGATAACAATAACTCTTCTGCATATTTTTGTTAAATACTGCATAAATACAATACAACTCTGAATCAAGGCTAAATAAAACAAAGATTGGTACCAATAAAAACAAAATGTCATTTTATCAGATCATTTTCAGTTTGACCTATGCCTCTCAGGCTATAGGAAAAATACACACATGTTAAGAGTATATTCCTAAAACAAGAGACTGACTTAAAAAAAATGTTAAGCCAAAGGTAAATATAATATATTTTAAGGTCTCTGGGTTAAGGCGCAGCAAAGTTATCTTTTACTTCTTTCTAGCATTAGAGGACACTTATAATGCATACAATGAGAATAAAGGAGACGTACCATTTTAGTTTTGAAAAGGCGTGTAGTGCATTCACTTTCTACAAAGACACTATTTCATAGGTTTATATTTAATTTTCTTAACAGCAATTAATTAGGCTGAGAGCTACCAAAGTGCATGATGCATATTTTGTATTTTAATGTAGAACGTCACGGCCCCATTACCAGTCAGTTGTTTCCATTTTAGATTTAAAGTAAGGACATCATATTGTTAAAGTCTCTGCCATTTTTAGTAGAGAGGTTTAAGGTTTAAGGAAAGAGCCATATAGGTCAATTAAACTTTGGATTAGGAAAGCATCAAATAGAAACAACATCTTGTTTCACATAAGAGAACATGAGAACCCTTTGATGAGGGCTAACTTCGCAAAGGAGAATATCACAACAAGAATGCAGATGCCATTCGTGATGGTCAACAAAGCCAAGTTGGTTTTAAATTAACACTTTATCTCTTAAAAAAAGACTCTTACCCGATTGACATTAAAAGCTGATGTATTTGGTTTTATCCAACATAAAAAGGTATTAAAAAACTTAAAGGGTCATACAGCTGCAAAATCAACTCCTTTTCAGCAACTTCTTTTTTATTTAAAACTGTGCATCAGTATGATACTGCAGGTTGAAATGTAACATCATTGAGTATTTCTTGCCAATTGGAAAATAAATGAATTTTCAAAGATTCTGATGAAATGTACAGCTTAAGACCTCTCTACCTTCTTTTAAAAGATGAACAAGTTAAATTCAAGTTAAGTATCTTTACTTGTTGGGTTTTGAGTTCATTCAACAGAAGTGAATTAAATCAACTGTTTTGATTTTGGTTTAGAAATGTTTGAACAGCAGAATCCTCTATCATATCCCTGAACTCATGCATAACTATATAATTGCAAGCTTGGGATCATGCAAGCTTAATGTTTTGTGGTTACCAAATGTCAAACTGTGTCTCCGCAAAGACATCAAAATATTGTTTAACTTTTTTTTTTAAATGTGAAAATAGAACATTTGTTTTTCGTGCTGTTTTTTAAATCCTGGAAATAGCAATGTTGTGATATTCCTCTTTAAGGACAGAGGGATATATATTTATCAATATCATTATTAGGATGCCACATCAGTACTTTACAATTGTTGGCCTAATAAAGAATTTGTGTGATAACATGAACACTTACGGAAAAGTACTAAGTAGCTGACATGAAAATGTCTTCATGAAAGTGCCAAATGATTCTATTCAGTTAGTAGATAGCAGTCACAGACTTTAAACGGGCTGGGAAATATTGCCCAACTTCCCCACAATATAGTAACAAGGAAATAAATTCATGTTATACGAAAAGAAACTCTTTGTGGCCTGGTGTGCATAGCATATATACTGAAGGCTTGACGCTCCCTGCTTTACGACAGGAGCTAGTCTCATACACTGTTAGTTATATCTTGGGTCTCCACCCACTTATGAACTGCATGAGTTTCTTTACCTGCAGTTTGCTTAGTTTGAAATCCTCTGACAAAATCTCCTCAGTGAGCTGCAGGAGTAGACTCCCATCGATCTTCTCAGTCACGAAAAAAGAAACAATGTCATCCGGCAGGCCAATAAACCTTAGAGATCTGGACACCTCTTCAATAGAAAGATTAGCCAGACTGGAGGGTGGCTGCCACTGTGCATTGGGAGATAATGATGGAGAGTTAGGAGTTAATGAAGTAAAGATGAGAGGTATCTCTTTTGTGCCCTTCTCAAGTTTAGGTAGTGAGCAATTTGACGTTTCCTGCTCACTGTCACCATCGAATCCTGACAGTAAATCCGTGCCCCTCTTTATAGCATTTGATTTGGGTGTTCTCGGCGGCAGGATGGGGCAAGAAAGGCTCTGCTTTGTGTCAGATTCTTCTATTGGCTTGTTTCTGTACATTTCTGAATGGTAACTTGAAGATTTGGTGCAGAAGTGATTCACGGAGGCTTTCTGCGACCTGAAGTCCTTACTGCTGTGAGCATGCTCTCCATCAAAGTCAACAAAGCTGGCTGTGCAGGCTTCCCGGCTGCTCTGGGATCTTTTTCTGGGGCAGCTGAAGTAACTTCGACAGCCAGATGGTAGAAACTCCTCCATGCTGTGCGATTCTCCTCCGCTGAGGTTATTTGGCCAGGACAACCTGGAGGACATCCCATCTGATGGCAGGCTACTGCTTGGCCACGTCACATTCGGCTCAATGCTGTGGGATCTAGCCCAGTTGCAGGGGTTGCACACATGGCTTGGTTCTTGTGGATCATCGGCATCCTGCTCAGATGCTCCACTACTGATGGAAAAAACAAAAATATTTTGGGGTATAAGAGCAAACCTCATGTAGACCTCATAACAAATATTTGAAAAACAGAAATGTGGGTGAATAAAAATGTATGTCTGTCAAGGATTAGCATAAAGTTGCCATTTAAACAAATATGTGTAATTGTCTAAATGTATCAAATCTTACTTTTGTCAAAGTGATTTTATTTTCCTGATATTTTCTTTCTTATTCTCATTGGTTGTGATTAGTGTCACATGATTGCTATGAAATGGTGCCAATTCTTACATGTTGTGGAGACCAGAAGAATAGTAGGAGAGGGTCGGACTTGGAGACCGAGTGTCTTGCTGCCGTGGCTTAGACAGGATGGGCACTGATGCCATCTGTTTCAAGCTTCTTGGAGGAATTGGTGGGGCATTCAGAAGACGGCATTCTTCCTTCACCTAGAAGGGTAAAGAAAATGTTTAGAGGGTGAAATTTAGTGAAATGAGAAGTGAATGTATTCAGTATTACATGAAGAGATTGAGCAACATTAAATCAGAAATGCGCTTACCGTTATAATTAAATTGTTGGTTGCACAGTAATCTAATTCATCAGATGTTGTATTTCTGACAAAGAAGCTGCGGTTTGCTGTAGTATTAAACTACACTTGCTGTTGCCAGAGAAACCACCGTTGTAACCAAATGTTAAGGATTACCACTGTAAGCAAAAGAGATTATACTCACAGCTTCAGACTTGGGCGGAACCGGTGGTGGAGTAAGAGACGAATCTGTAGTGACTGGGTATGACAGGGCTGTTGTTGTGCTGCAGCCATTGTTGATGCCTCGAAGTCCCTCACTCACAGAAGGTTTTGGGATCTGACCTCTCAATTGGTCCAACCACAGCTCCTCATAGGGGACGTCAGATTTGTTGAGGGATGGTTGTGAGTTTGTGCTGTCCATCAGTTCGGGGTAAAAGTGTTCATTTTCTCCCGATTCTGAAGGGATGCTATCCGAGGGCAGAAGAGCCCAATCTCCACACAGTGTCATACAGCCCTGCAAATTGACCTCACTGTTACCGTGCAGGTTGCTGCCGTACACGCACACAGATAGACGGTGGAAGGACTGGGTGAGTTCCTCCCGGGCATAGGTTAAAGAACTGGGAATCTGCATTTGGTTGGGACAACCGTTGGAGCTGCTGCTGCATCCGCTGCTTCCACTGCAACTGCCATTCCCGCTGGTTTTCTTGGGGCTCTTACCGTCGTCGTTCCAGTCTGTCCGCACATCCCGAACAGCACGAGAATAGTCATCTATGTCAAACTGATCCTGGCAGAAGGAGAACCAGCGATGTACCATAGTTTCTAGCCACAGCTCTCCTTGCAAGAGCTCTTCTGGAATAATACATCTAGGCATGGCCATATGAAAGGGAAAATGGATGGGGATAATTTTGTTGCTTCGCAGGATGCAGCACACAACCACCGTCTTTGTCTGAATGTTGACTAACTTGTAGCGATGACCCTCACGAATGAGGTGGAGGTCATAATGGTTGCGGGGTGGACTGTTGGGGACTGACACATTGACAGGGAGACGGGTTTTCTCCACAATGTTCCTGATGATGTGCTCGCCGTCCTGCATCTGGAGCTCCAGTGGGCTACAGGTGCTGAACCTGCCTTTGCACTGGAAAGGCAGGCTGATGCTCTCGTTGGTGCGATGGTTCATGCAGATCAAGCAAGGCATCTTGCCTCGACCGATCTTACTGATAGAGTTTAGCTTCCCAATCTTCTTAAAAATTGTGTTGAATCTTGATTTTTCTTTGGAGGTCTTGGCATATAGAATCTCAGCCTGGCCCATTAATGTCAGCTCATCACCGGTGCAAAGTGTTATGTTGTACACTTCGGTATCTTCATTGCATTCGCCTGAAGCCATCTGTGGAAAGATGAGATTTGAGAAAGATGAGAAGGGCTGACAAAATGAAGGAGAGCTTTTCCACCTCGTCATTTTTAAACATTTTGATTTAGTTTATACATTTTAATAGACACTACCAAATTCAGAAGGACTCATAACAATCGATTATAAGAAATGAGATATACCTTAACATTGAACGTGATTTCTTCCATAACGTATACCCTTTCAGGGAATGCTTTAGCCACCTCCTCCACACTGTTGAAGTACTGCACAGGCTCCTTGACATCTCTGTCCTGCTCCAGTAGCTTAAACTGACCTGAAGTAGGAAAAGTCGTATCAATGCAACTGAAAGGTTTAGGAACCTATTGTTTATAGATTTTTTTATTAAACACTGATACATCAAAAACCCCTTAAAATATAAAATGCATTTAATCATTCAAGAAGCCCACAATTCCACCCCTGTGTGTTGGTTTTGACATATACAAAGATACCAAAATACAATGTCAAGCAAATGTAAAAGCCTTGAGCATCCAAGCAGATGCAGCTCACCTTCATAGTGCACCGGGATCTCTATTTTGGGCCCAATGACATAGTGTCCCTCCTCCAGACTGTGAGCAGTAATAGTTGTCCACTGACGGCAGGAATGAATCAAGAGGTAGTCATTGTCTCGGAGCCCTTCAACAATCTGACCTGAAAGAATTAGACCAACAGACAAAACTGATTATCCCTCAAAATCCATGCAAGATTGGAATACTGTAAAACGTACACCTTCTTTAATAAACATTTAGAATATATTCCTTTGCACAATCAAAATCTGTCATGAAAGTGTCATGACCTCTAGAGATCAATAAAGGCCTATCTTATAAAACACCAACACACTTCATGTATCCCGCGAAACATAATGTAAATGTTGCATAATTCGGCTTGCAAAATGTGAAATTCCTGGTATAAAGTTGTTGAAATATTAAAATCTCTAACACAGATGGTCATAGCTTTGTTTGAAGTTGTTTAACATGTCTTTTTGTATTAATAGGCCTGATTAGAATGTGGTACAAGGAAGAAAAATGTGTTTGAGACAAATATTAAAGGATTATCCCAAACATTAAACATATGCCATAAATACCACTTTTGAGCCTTACATGCTTTTTCGACTCAAGCCAAGGCATTACACTACTCAGTACAATAAAATCATTATCCTCCATGGACAATGACAAATGCATTAATCCATACCTCTATCAAAAGCAAGCATTGTCGAATATCTGTGTCTAAATCAGGCATCACGCTACCTTTACAGTTTATGATATGCACACATTTCCATGTAATCACTGTGTTGCACACCTAACAGTCTCCTCGGGCCTTAATGCATTGTACCTAACATGAAACATTATCGCTGTTATTACATTAAATGTTTACACTCTAACTTTCTACATTTACTTGCATTGCTGCAGCGTGACAGCAGAGAGGTTACAGGACATAAAGTAACACTGACAAACGTCGTTATTTGTTGTAACTGCACGATATATAATAGCGCAGAAAAAGACAGTGAAGCCACTTTCATCATTAAACATTACAAAGTTCTAATACCAATATGACACCTCTGACATGAATTAAGACGATACGCTGACAAAACAAAGAGGAACTATTTGTCTTTCAAATAGTTATGGTAGGTTTGTCTTTAGCTGCTAATTAGCAATGTAGCAGCTAGCAAAACTCAATTTAGAAGTGACAGCAAGTTACTAACCGTTATCCAGCTTGGCCATTTGAGGCAACCTATAAGCACTCACAAGTTGATCTAATGGTAAAGACGTAGTGCTCCATGTAACATCTTTTAAATTGTTGTATAACATTGTTCCAAGGTCCATTTTGCTAGCTTATTAGCCAGCTGGAAAGCTAGCTAGCAATGTGTAAACACGGTCACAAAAGGCTACACTAAGCTAACCAACTGAATAATATATCAACTCTCCATCGACAGTTTTATGTTTGGCACGTTTCTTATTAATCGTCGCATATTGCCCTTTGCATTTGCCTACGTATCTTTAAGGTCCGTAGTCTTATAATGTAGCAAAGACATGTTTGTTTAGCTCGCGACGTCTGCACCAGGGCAACTAGTCTGAAGTTAAGTGAATAACGGAAATACGTTTTGGTTTCTTTTAAAATAAAAGCTTTATTTCCATTGGGGTACATATCAGGGTGAATAACACAAAACACATGTCAAACTTTCTCAGTGAAGTTGTTCTAAACCTTTAGAATATAAAACATAGCGCGCTAGAGGGAATTGTATATGAAAATGGCTCAATTTGAGAGCCATTTATTTATTAAAGTATGTACCGGAAGTTGTAATGTTGTACATATAACTGTGTTGCTCATGCTGATAAATTCAAGACAAAGGGGCAAAAATAAAGATAACCTGGTGCCCCATAAAGGCTTGTAAATTAATTTGAAAAAACCGACACTTAAATAGTTTTCAATTGCTTGTCTCTGTACTTTAAAAGCCACTCCTTAAATATGTCAGCAATCCATCACCCCTCAGCATAGGCGACCTGTAGCCTATGCAAAACCATTACATTCAAGTAAAAGTAGTATGGGAATGTAAAGGCCTACCAACACACGTCAGCCTATATAATTGCCATATAATCACATGGGAGGAAGGGCAAAATCAATTGGGCCTTCAAAACTGTTATTGCAATGTACCAACAATGACACCATCATCACACTTCCTGGTGCAGCTGGTACAAATCAGAAAAACTTCCCTATTTTGGTCTTTTGCAAAGTGTACTCCTACCCAGCAACTATGTCTTTTGTTGACACTCTGCGCCAGTGGGACATGGCTGTAACTTGTGTTGACAGACAGGATTTGTCAGAGGCACTCAAGATTTTCCTGTCTATCCAAGATCCAAACTCTAAAATTAGTTTTGACATTGGCTGTCTCCATTTTCTCAACAAAGACCTGGATGCTGCTGAAAAGGTATGTTTGACCTTTGTTCGTAGATTAATGTAAGCCAAAACATTTCCCACAAAGTTTTATTTATTTATAATATTACTTAAATCTTGTTCAGGGACGTAAACTGATTAGGCTGAAATGAAATTATGTGATATTTCTGAGTGTAAAATCGCAAGTCACTGAGAAAGAAGAAGTAGAGTTTACCATTTCTCTTTTCTAATAGAGGAAGTAACTGTGTTTTCTTGTGTTTCTCAGGCGTTTGATTGCAGCATACGTAAAGATGAGCATTTGGCTGTTGCCTTCTTTCAAAGAGGAATGACATTTTACAAAAAGAAGAGGCAAGAAACACTAGTCATCTCAATTCAATGGCCACAATTTGTTTTCATATTTAACACTGTAATTAAAAAATACTACACACAGTATATTTCGTTATCATACATTTAGGTACTTTTTTTGTAATTGTTTTTGGTGCAAAGATAATTAGATTTTATGTTTGGATTTTTTTATATTCAAAGGTATGAGGAGAGTTTAGCTGATTTCCAGCAAGCTTTCAAAGCACTAAGAGGCAACCAGCTGATAGATTACAAAGCGCTTGGTCTCAGATACAAATTATATGCATGTGAGGTAAGTATTTAAAAGCCTCCAATCATGTTTATGTTCTTGTGTAGCCTCCTTATTAGTGGAAAGCAAGGTTCTATAATAACAATGTTTACTGCAATAGGTTCTTATCAATATGGCTCTGTCTGAGGCTCAGCTGGGTAACTGGGAAGAAGCCCACAAAAACCTTGTGAAGGCTCTCAATTACAAGACAGACGCCAAGCTCAACATCATCGATAAAGCTCTGGATTCCGCCCTGGTCAGTTAACATACTGTAAAGTAATCACTATTTAATGATTATACACAGTGGTATTAGTGATGTAATTAGAATTTTCTTTCATGTCAGAATTACTTGACAAATATTATAATATCCATTGCAATGCATTATCACCAACAGAAACAGAAACTTTTCAAACCAGTCGAGTTCCCATCAAAGGTGCTTTTCAAACCAAATAAGCACTATGTTGCTGAGCTGGAGAAGAAGGACTACCTGGGCAAAGCAAAGGTAATGTGATACGTTTAGTTACAATGTGTACTATTATTTAGTGTGGCATTTAACTGTATTTGAATACAGCTCATCTAGTTCACTAAAATGTCAATGACTTAACGCTATAACAATGTGCCATACATAAGCTACATTTTTTCTCTGCTATCTTCAGGTGGTTGCCTCTGTCGTTCCTCAGGATGCCTTCTCTGGATTTGCCCCATTACAGCCACAGGTGAAATATGGGTTCTTCTATAGCGCTTTCCAAATAATGATATGATGACAAAGATATAATTTGTTATCAGCAGCTGATTGTGTTACATTATATTTAAAAAAACAAATTACATGGAATATGTTTTTCAACGTAATTGCTGCTTTGAGTCAGCACTAATGATTGGATGCTTTGTGTTTCTGTGTACATCTGACAGGTACAAGACGGTCCAACTAGTCCAAAGGAGCCGGAGGTTCTAAGGTAGTTTCGTGTATACTTAAGTGTAAAAAAAATATGATTACTTTTCAGTTGTTCTAATTCAGCCTTGTCGAATGCAAAAATAATTGTAAATTACATTGATACTTGTCAATATTTTTGCTATAGAAGATACATTTTCCACCACACGTGGATGTGTTAAAGGAAAAAAAATCAGCCCTCTATTTGGAAAGAGGGAAACATTTATGAAGTGTTATGCTTTCATTGGAGGGGATATTATATATAACTCTGTGAATGTAAACAATAGAGAAGCCATTGTTATCCGGTAAAAAATAGACTGGTGTGCCAGCAGCTCTCTTGATGCCATGTGGATTTCTCCTGTCTTCACAGGGCTTTGGAAGGAGAGCCCCACACTGTCCTGTTTCAGTTTGTTCCTGAGACCAGCGATGAGTTGGCTGTCGTGCCAGGCAATGTTGTGTTTGTGCTGCAGAAGGGAGCCGATAACTGGGCATCTGTGATCTTTAATGGAAGAGTAAGCCCACTACTGTACATCTGCAACCAATTTGCTAGTGTTTTTTCCCATAACTTTTGTTCTTTCTTTTATATGAAATATGTGTAGAGAACTTAACAGAATTGTTACATGTTTATTGATAGTATTAAGCATGTTGTTCATTATAGAGGGGACTTGTTCCTTACAATTACCTGGAGCGTTATGAGATGTCCTTGGCTTCCAGACAGAACGAGGTAAGGAATTAAATATCTTATATTTAATTTTGAAGATTGCTTTGCAGTATTTTAAGAAGTGATGTATTCTTTGCTATAAGACTTTTTATAACATTACCAGTATTATTGTTTAACGGTGGACAGGGAATACCTCAGCCTCCGAGTCAGGAACCACCGACCAGACCTAAAAGAAAACCAGGTACACTCATCTGACGGATTAAGAAAACTACAATATAGAAATTGCCTATGACTAACTAAATCCATTGGTCAAAGCAAATATTGTAACATAAGAGAAAGTATTTCAGCAAATGCAATTTGTATCCTCCTTCTTTGTATTTAAGGTCTAACTCCAAGGAGCGACAGCAGCGACTCAGAGAGAAATGTATGCTGAGTCAAATCCTCATGACTATATTACACCAGTATATCCCAAAATGTGCCAACATGTGAAGTGTTCATTTTCTTTCTTATTTAAAATCCATTAACATGTCCTTTCATTAATGCCAGGAAGAACAGCCTCCTGACAATTCACTTATTGTCAAAGTCCGTTTCACATTCACCTTTGCTGTCTCAGTACCACCCGGATCTCCTTATGCAATACTGATTGAAAAGATCAGTAGGAAACTGAATCTCCCTATGACTGCAATCACTTTGAGGTAAGGTGTACATTTAAAAAAAGAAGTGGTGTTAGTGTTAAGAGTACAACATTAAATCATTTTGTTCCATATAGTCTAACCCCTGAAGCTACGGGACAAAGTGTTATCGATGACAGCACAGACATGGAAAGTGTGTGGAGTCGTGCCAGTGGTGTGCACATCACTTTGTGGTGTTACGCAAAGGAGGTAAGGAAGTGCTCATCTTTTCCTGTTTATGCTGGCTTCACAAAATATAGATACTGGTTGAAAGTGCTATTAGTATTGTGAAAATGACCATTTTTGTGTATTTAGCAAACAGATCACAGTCCAAATATCGAGGTTCCCTTGGTGGCACTTTACTCGTATGAGTCATCAAATCCAGAGGATCTCAAGTTTCATCAAGGCGATACAATCACAATCATCTCTAGAGGTGAGGGTCAATTCTTTTTAATCAAATTTGCTTAAAAACTCAATCATTTATCCAAAAAATATCATTCTAATTCTTTTGTTTATTCTTTTCCTTTAGTTAACCAGGATTGGTTGGAAGGGCTATGCAACGGGGATACTGGTATATTTCCTGCGTCCTTTGTGGAAGAAGTTCCTGTCAATGGCCAGTAATTTAAATGAATGAAAGTAAGCAGCACAAATAATAAAGGATAATCTGATCATTGGTCAAGTATACTCTCTATCGAAACAATTTTAGAATCAACCACATTTGATTAATTTGTACCTATAAATACTTAATATTTACATTTTTAAACACCTGTTCGTTCAAATAAACTCCTCTTCAAGTGTGTCAAGTTGTTATGTTTGGATAAATGCGATAACAAAAACTAGTGATATCTGACATACATTTTAGGAAAAAAACTTTTAATTATTTCTTACATTGAGTAATTAAATTCAGCAATATACATCTAAATGCCTCAGGCATGATTAAATAGTCTTGTGTGCTACTGGTAAGTTATCCTTCCTCTTCATAGGCAATAGCTATGCCTCTCCTGCCCTCTACTGCCTTCACCACAGGTGTCGCTCCCAAATTCTGCTCCAAGCCACGCCAGCTTCGTTCTGCCAGAAAAGACGCTGAGAAGAGAAAGCAAAAATATGTAACCTAATATATGATATTTAAAAGTATACTTGTATAAGAAAAACACTGGTTGATTGTTTTCTCACATGCACAAGATGCGATAATTGTATCAGTACAAAGTCTACAATAAACTCATGGATGTACAGAAATGAAAGCAAGCAAGACTTTTTTGATGGTCTCATACCAGCTGAGTTGGTGTTGGCCACAGTGAGCATCTGGTTCCTGAGGACCACTGAAGAGCCGAACGAGGAAACTTCAGGCTCACTGCTCATCAGATTCTGACTCCGCAGAGCTCCAGTGATTAAAGACACGTCAGTCTCACCGCCCTCCTCCTGCTGATCAGCCAAAGGCACGTGACTCTGTCCACCTGGTGTAAGTTTGGGGGAAAATATTATAAATTAGCTATAGGCATATATAAATAAGAATTTAGGAGTAGGTTTGTCCGATGTGAATATATCAAGATCCAACCTGGCAGGAGATGTCGAAAGTCTGTGACATATTCCTCTGACCACTCCCTCTTCCTGTTGCAGGCCACCTCCATCTCAAATGGTGTTACCACAGGTTTATAGAACTCACTTGAGTCCAGCAGTGAGTTCTCAGGACATGCGATTAACACGAAAATGTCAATTTCAAGAAAGTTTGCCAGTTTGGGCACGTTCAGTTTCCCCATGGCAAACAAATAGCTCTTCTTGCCAGCTCCATGAATAGCCTCCTTCAACTGCTGGATGATTTTGAGGTAGTCAGACACTCCTAATGTGCCAACTAGAATGCCAACAACATTGGCATCTTTGGCCCTTTCTATAGCGTAATAACGCTTCATTAGGGCACGGTTGATACTGACTGACTCTGTCCTCCCGGTCATTTTTATGGGGTCAAAAGAACAAAATGAGCAGCGATTCCAAGTCATCATGAAGTTTGTCAGAGTTGCTCCTTCTTGGCCTACATAGAACATACTGTAATCCGTGATGCTTAAACCACTTGTCAGGGAGAACTGCCTTCCAAACTGATAAATAAGCTGGTTGTTATCTCCCTCTGATAGACATGTGTCATCATGTAGTCTCTTTATCCGACCATGGCTGTAACACTGCTCCCCTTCCACAACAAGTTCTGAGACGACTAGGTTTGGATACTCTGGTGAAAGGAGTGCCATAAGGTCATCTGAAAACAAATTAAAACAATGGTGTGTGAAAAGAAATGCTTGAATCTAAAGCTGTTCTATAAAATGGCATACATATGTATTATCTCTTTCATATAGCAGGGCTTTTTTAGAAAAGCTTACCAATAGCATGAACATAGTTGACATCATAGAGGATGATGATGTGACTGTGTGTGTCTGGGTAGAGTTCTCTGAAGGCAGAAGTGCATTTCTCAAGATCCACCGGTCGTCTCTCAAACACATACATCAATGGCAGCCTTTTAGACGGGCTGAGGCAAGCACTGCCATAGTGCACGATGCAGTCGGCTCCAACATGTTCTGCAGCTACCTCGTCCACACAGCAACTGCCAAAAAAAGAATTAAGAATGCATCCATTAAAACTCACGGTAGAGCAGTGACTTTGCAGTAAGGATCCAAACACTTACAAATGTATCATGTACGCATTATTAGACCAAGTAAAACCTTTCTAATTTAAACCTGGTGTGTTACCTGCCGTAGGATGTATCTCCCAGAATGAATGGCTTGGCATTGCTGTTTCTCTCAATCTCCAATGCTACTGCAACTGCATCCACCAGCAGCTCATCAGGAAACTGCAGAGCAACCTGTAAATATTATCCATGATTTAACTTTAGTTGCTTTCACTGGCTAGTGTGTCAACAGCCTTTTGACAATAATTGTGTTGTCCCTTCAGGATTCAATTTACAAATGTCTATGTGACGAAAAGTACATTTGAAGTACTCACCTTTTCAAATTGATGCTCAGTGATAAAGTCACAAATGTCCTTAATCTGATACAACTCTTCAAGGTTTTCCACAGGATTGCTTTCCCCCACCGTAACATCCACGACACGCTGAATTACGTTCTCCGAGCTGCTACTAAATGCGTCAGCCATTGTTGCATAGAAAACGCGGAACAGTGCCTGCAAAATGAGTAATAATACACATTTCAGGACACCATTTGGACACAATTCAAACGATTACAATCCTGTAATCCTGTTCTGCCAGGAAAGTGTGTGATAAACTCGATTGAATTGTACTTAATTTAGATATTTGACAATATTGTTAACGTTATATTGGCAAATAGCTAAGTGAAGCAACAATGTATCCAACTACTTCACAACATTGTCACGTTGACGTAATGGTGTTTTCCTTTTGTTAAAACATATATCAAATATAGCCTAGTCACAGTTAACCATCCCATACCTTACGTTACCTACTTTTAGCTTAACGTTACTTTAGTTCCGTATGCTAGGTGTGTCGCTAGCTAGTCTTTTTTCACAATATGAAGTGTAATAACGATAATGTACGAATAACATTTACAACACATACATGTAAACTTACAAAGAGAAGTCATGCGGAAAGTTGTTGACGAATAAACACTTATTTGACAGCTACACACGTGTCTGCAGCAGTAGAGTACACTACAACAGCTCTACCCTAAGCACTTCCGGTTCAAACGTTTCAAAATAAAAGCTAGGATACACTGAGCAGTGAGCAATGACATGCATTATCGTCGATTATCATCCGTTTATATTCCTGGAATTTACACAAACTAACTCACACTTTCAGATGACTGAGTTGAAAATATTTGAGACACATGAGACAGTAAATCATGCATATAATACATATTTTAATGTAGTGCAGAGTAAAAGCAGAATGATATTGCCATGGCAAAGAGCTGACCTCTTTGACAATGGCAAGCTCATTTCAACAGTAACCTACATTAAATATACTAATAACCATAATCTTCAATAGAAAGATAAACTAACATTTTGACAATTAATTTGATTAAAAAAATAATTCATTTTAAAACTGAAATATCACAAAGCAAATAAAAGTCAAGACACAATTTAAATACCAACAGCTTCTGCTGAGCATCTCTTCAACATCTACAACTCAATATATACATATTTTAAAAAATTCTGTTTCAATCAAGCTTATCTGGATAAGTGGTCAGACACCATAAATCATTAAATAGTCTTAATTTCATTACTTCTAAGAGTCACATCAGTGATCTGTTGAAAGAGCCATTTGTCAATAACTCCCCCTTCTGAAAAAAGATTGCACCGACAATTGCGAAATCCCATAATGTAAGAGGCTATAGTTGTCTCTCTTTCATTGTCGAATTCAGTTGCTGCATTGAAGGTCCACTGTCACGAGACCTTACATGAAAATCGTATTCATAATCCTGCTTACATCCAAATACGATAGAATCCCAGGACCACAGTAAGACAGGTGAAGACTGAACCTTTGAGGATAAAGTGAGCAAGCATTAGTCTACTATTTGTCAGCTATCATTGGTTATTCTACATAGCAACAATGCACAATATCTTACCTGCAAGGTATTTTATAGTGTCCAGTTTATGAGATTCTAACATTGTTTTCAAACCGGCCACTTCCGTGTCTATTTTCATGTTGGTCTTAGTTAAATGGCGATCTTGCTCTGCAGTCTGTAAAAAAGGCAATAGGACAAAGGCATAAAGATAAGCCCCACCAAAGACCTACACTTGTTCATATTTATAACTGAGAAGAGCAAATACTTTTTAAAAGTAGTAAAGCAATCAGTGACAGCCATTGTAAAAAAAACTTGAATTGATATTTTTTGGCTTCTATTTCTACTTTGTATGCGTTTAGCACAAAAAATGTACAGATTAGCTGTTAAAAGATAGGAAACATGTTCTGTAGGTGTACTGGAAAAATACAAACCATTTCCATTATCTCAGTTCGCGTTTCTAGGAGCAACTTCTCATTCTCTATTTTCTAGAAAAAATATTAAAAAAAGGTTTTAGTAATTAAAGATATACCAATAACAAGAACAGACTATTTGACAAGTCATTATCTTTTTGTACAAGTTAAGGTTGAAAAAATACAAATTAAAAAGGGCATTTGAGGATCTTCAAAACACATGTATTATTCTCAAACACTTACCAATTCTTTTGAACGACTTTTCTCCAAATTCATGTCCATAATTGTGTCTGAGCGCAGTTTATTCATGACATCCTGCAAGGTGGCATTGGAGATGAACAAAGGAAAGTCACAACAAAACGTAAATCCTCTTTGATGAAAACAAGATGAAGAAATACTTCTTAATACGACTACAATTTGGACCTAAAGCTAATAAGAATAACCACTTACAGCCAGTTGGATCTTGATGTGCAGTAACTCGTTCTTGAGTTTCTGGGAGAAATGTTAAAATTGTTATGTTCCTATTTAGGGCAACATTGGCAAACATGAAGCAAAAACATCATACATTCTTCTAATCATATATTGGCTGACATGACATATTTTTTATCTATCTAGATTTCTAAATGTGTGCTTTTTGTTTTTTATATACAATTTATTTTACAAGGTATTTGCAGGTAAAAAGTCAGCTTATGCATATCAATTTGAATTCCAGGATCACTTTGATCATCAAACAACCAAGGGCACAGATAGAATGCAACAATTACTTTTGGGAAACAGCTTAAGTCTGCTCATCATAAACACACTCACCTCATTTTCTGCCAGTAAAGTAGAGAACTCACTCTTCTCTAGGATTAACATGTCCTTCTTTACAGATGCTATTTGAGACATCAAACGCTGCAACATGATCTCCTGCCAAAATCACACAACACAAAAGTTCATTTTTAAAACCATAAAGAACAAGTAAACAAATGAAAGAAATACAGAATGTCTATTCAGGTGTTTCTTTTATATTACACTTTGACATTACATATACATTATTTAATCATTTACACCAGGGGTCTCAAACTCAAGGCCCGGGGGCCAAATCCGGCCCGCGACTTCATTTTATGTGGCCCCGTAAGAGCTTGCAAATAATATAATACGTTTATTATACCGTTACATGCCAATTTACAGAAACAGGTTGCCCATAAACTACATGTCCCACAATGCATCTCGTTTTGTAAAATGTGCACTGAAGAGACTTGCAATTATTTGCCCTAGACTTCTGCTTTCAGACGTAGTTAATTACGAAGTTATTACCCTATCGAATAATAATCCAATTCAGAGGCAATAATGTAATATAATACATTATTTTATATATATATTTATATAGTTAAATCCGGCACTTTGAGTGTAACCTTTAGGCGAATGTGGCTCGCGATGAAATTGAGTTTGACACCCCTGATTTACACCATGCGCTCTTGAATATAAAAACAATACTGGTATGGTGACCTTAACAGCACTAAAGGCACAGCCTGAATGAAACACAGAGAAGAAACAAAAAGGGCTGACATAATGCTTACTTTTGTATTGACAGCATATGTAAAATAAAAAAACCTCCTCCGACAGCCTCACCTGCTGCACTTTGGTCACCATGTCACTATAAATGACATCCATGTTAGAAGTTGTCATCTTCACCAGTATTCTTACAATCACCTCAGCTTGCTGGGTTGTGAAGCCTGTTCAAAGAAAATATATTCATTTTTGGGGGGAAATTCAACAGCTTCTTAATAATAGAAGAAGCTTAAATATTGTGACGTTTTTTTAAATAACAAAAGCATTCAAACCATTTTCCTCAAAGAGTCGTACCACTGCATGGGTGTCAAAAAGCAGCTTCCCACCTTCAGACTTTGGTACAGATCGATCTAAATGCTGGAGAGCTGTGATGGTCGTACTCAGCCCTGAAATCAATGATAAGAAGATATAAGTGAATAAACTAAGCATGACCTGGAGACCAAAACTGTAAATGTCCTAAATGTCATGGACATTTCAGGTGTGATGAGACACCTGAAAAATTGGAGGCCAGGTTGCATATTATGTAAATACAGTGTGTGATGTGGGTACATGTTTCTATTGAAAACTTTGCAGATTTAGCATCAGGGTTTTGCTTATTCAACACGGAGGAGTTGTTACTGGAGAAGTTTATATTTGGTGCACTTCAATTAAACAATGAATGCGTTTTTTTTAATTAATGAGAGCCGTGCAATTAAGCCCTTAATTTATGTTTGACTTAGCGTTTTAATTCAAATGACCAGAGCAGACAGGAAGTCGACTTTTATAAAAGCTGTTTGCCATTAAAAAAACAGAAGAAGAAAACTTTTATTTTGAAACTCAACAAAGAGGTCAAATTCATGATAAATCCCATGAAGTGAACAGTGATCTGAGAATAATTTATGCAAAGTTTCGCATTGGGGGTTTCAAAATGGGCACATAGAAAAAGTGCCCTTTCTTTGAGGTATTTAAATGCGCCTGCACTGCATTCAAGCACAACCTAGGGCTGTGTTATTATATTTAGTAGAGTTACCGGTGTTTGAGAGTTAACAGCGAGGTGCCATACTTCAACTGTTGGTAAACAGACTATGAACTGTAGTGAGTTAACTTACCTCTTGCAGTCATGTATGTCCCTGCAGAAAGATGTACAATCTTTTGCCCCGCGTGTCTCCCTCTCCATACCGGCTTCTCAAAGCTCCTGAAAGGTTGAGTGATGATACACCGGACACACGGTAGTGTGTAGGCAGCAGTCAAAGAAGACATGTTTGAGGAAATGGTCGCTGTCATAACACTGGTAACTCTTCCTTGATTGAAAGAAAGGTCATACCACTTTTTTAGGTGGTTAACACCGAGTTTGATTCGCGAATGGCACTGTTTTAGCACCATTGTCAAAGTTAGTGTTCAGCCAGCAGCTGGCCTGTACTTCAGTTTGTTAATATCGTCAGCATATCATTAACCTCTCTATCGGGGCTGTATTGCAACTTTTCACCCAGCTATTAACGCCGCCCTACAAACCCGTATAATCATGACCAAAGACAGGCAGAGCTAGAGGACGGGAAACTTCCACATTTCCGGTCACACATTTCAAAATAAAACTCACTTTTCACATAGGCTACCTAAATCACTTTGGAGACATCATAGACTTTTCAAAAAGAAAATCAACCATTTAAAAGGTTTATTTTATCATCTCACAATTTTAAGCTCTGTTTGTAAATAATAAGGTATGATAAGTTTTGACCATGCAGTATCTACAGTATCTCAGAATCAATAAGGCTCACACTTACAGACTGGTTCAGATCTTATTGTAGCTTATTGACCTGTTAAGAAGGAAAATAAAACAAAAAATATATACATTTATATATATAGATATATATATATACGTATATTTGAATGAATGGAAAACAGCAGGGTGTGATATTACATCAGTTCTCTACTGCTCATTATGTTATAAGTTATACTGAATCAAAAAAAGCTTTAGTCATTGTAAGTGAATATTCTGCTTGTTACAGTAGATCATCTACAAAGCATATACATTTTCTCAATGGCAACAAGATACAAAATGTGACAGAGGTATTTTAGGAAAGGTGGGTGTACTATAGAACAAAGGGAATCCATCTTCAGACAATTGGGTATGTAAAATCAAACACCTGTCTTATACTTTACTAGTTATGCTTGAAACCAATTTTAACTGGCAGCCATGTCTTTTTTTTGTCACTTCATGTTCACCATGACAGTATGGTAACTGAGTGTTTACTTCTATTAATCGCAAACTGGTTTGCATCCAGATTAATTTCATTGTATATTTAGACCAATTGTCCTATGCATAACAAGTAAATTGAGTTGCTTATACAAAAGTTAACCTTTTTTAAAGGAACTTGTTAAGAAAGAACTACTGTACTTGCAGTGGATATTTTTCATCAGTTTTACTGAGCGTTGCTGAGGTTTAACAGAAAAAACAAGTTGAGCTTATTAAGGTTTTGCTCATGAGAAAAAGACAATACAAATAGATAAAGTGGCTACCACCAAAACAACCAGCAATAAGAGCACAAATAATTTTCTGCGCTGGTGTAGAGGCTGGTGTCCAGGCTGCTCCTCATCGACTGAGAGCAGGGAGGCGCTGTCCGTGCTGCTCAGCGGGTCTGGATACTGTGGCCCATGGGGCTCCACCATCCAGCGCAAAACGTTGACTTTCATCTCCATGTCATCGATCATGTGGTCAAGTTGGCTGATATCCTTCTCCATGGTGCTGCGCTCTTGGCTCTCGAACTCAGCAGGAATGGATGTGCTCTGAGGTTTGTTCAGGTCTGGCACACTGAGCGCCCGGGCTGCTACCTCACTGCCTCCTCCTGCATTACCAACATTTAAAATTGGTAAATACTTCAGTTTTATTTCAGTCAAAGAAGGCATTGGTACTGTGTCACAAGTATATAATGTTCAGATTCTGTTAAAACAGTTTTGGAGTAGTATTTAGTGCACATCCTCTGTATTAAAATACATTCATTTTAGCTTACTTTGCATTACTATTTTGCTAGCCGATTATTTGCACATCAAAGTGTTTTCACATTGATATATAGTTCAATACAATGGTTTGATCAGTGTCAGGGCTATACTTTAATTTACCTTGTAGGCCATTTTGCACCCGTGTCTCCTTTTTGGACAGAGAGAAGATGTCACCCATGTTGAAAACTTTGCACATGTCAACATGGAGGAGCTCTAGGCTGGAGGAGAAGCCCACCCAAAGGATCTCCATCTCCTTACGTTGCTCCTCAGGCAGGCTCTTGTCTCGGAGATGTGAGGTCAGATGACTACGGGTGGCCATGGCCAACCTTTGGGCCTTTTCTCGTGTTTGTCGCAACTCATCCCGCAGCTGCAAGCTGTCTGTGCATCCACCAACACATGTGGCCAACACGCGGTAACATGCTACAACCTGTTTGAAGAAAAAGACAAACATTTCGTTTTTGCCAATTAATCAATTAAAGGGATAGAGTGAATTTGAAGCTGTGTGCTACTTAATTAAGGTGATTATGTATATTAGGCAGTGTGTTTCACATGACTACAACAACTCAGACCTGAATACTGTCGGATCTACTGGCTTTGGAAGCTTGAATATTTTCTCTGTAACTCAAAGATTGTTTGTAACCGCAACATCCAATTTGTTTTGTATCAGTATACATGCTCCTGCTTAGCCCAGCACCTGATTGAGTATACAGTAGACCACTAATCACTTGTTATAAAAAGGTAAGTCTGCGCTCTCAAGAACTGCCCGCTTATGTTGTATGTTTAAAAGTCAATGTTAAATAAAAAAATCTTGCTAAAACTTTTTTATTATAAGAAAAAATACTTATTTTAGGATTGGTAACAGTTATTATAAATATTCTTATGTGATTCAAAGCCAAATGTATCAATAACTGGGAAATGTGAAAAGTCGGACAGTTCCTCTTTTATGACCAAATTCATATGTTAACACAGTGTTTTATTAACAGGCATGAGATAAATCCTGATGGATTAGCAGGAGTGGTTCCAGTGAAAAATATTAAAATTAATCTCATTATCATTGATCTATTTCTAGATAAGCCATAACAACCTTGTGTACTCAAGAGCGAGGATAGATGAGACGGGGAGACACAAAGATGACTACAATTATGCCATTTGTAAAATGTGGATACAGTAAGTATTCATTTCCAGACAGTATTTTTACCATTTGTATTTTAATATACCCTATACAGTATATTGCCTCATCTTGTCTGAATTGCCCACTTTGAGTCCTTGTATATAACTTAAATTGTTCACAGCATGCAACACTGTACCTATAAGGGCAAGCTAAAATAAATAAATTAACTACATGCTGACGACAGTGCAAAAAAGGTAATGGTAAAATAGAGTTAAAACAACTGCATTCATGTCTATGAAGGCATTGCCATTGCATTATCCAACATGTTGGAACAGTCACAAAGATTCAGTGGACCAAGAAATCCTTTTCATGGAGAGTGCTTTTTTAGCCATAGGGTGACAAGAAGATTCTTAGATGTCTTGTGCAGGGTATATTCAGTCTAACACAAGTACAAAAAAAGACCATTATAAAGAGTGAGTAACTGCTGGCGAAAACATTTAAATTGTCAACTCAGTTGAAATAATAATTATTTTGTAAAGTAAGACGTAACAAATAATTGCTTATAACGAACAGTGGATGAATAATGTGTACACATATTCCATGTGTCTTTTTTTACCTTAACAATTACATTTTTTAAAGCAGAACGTAATTACAACATTCTTTTTGTCTTATGTCAACAGTCAAAGCTGAAATGAAAAAACAGTTGAAATTTGGAGATGTTTACCTTTATTAAAGAATCCACCAGAGCCTTTCCATCAACCAAAGCCTTGTCTTTGCCAACTGTGCCATCATCACCTACTTTGTTATTTATAAGTGGCATGAGGATGACTTGTCAAGAGTCTCAGACTCTGGCCAGATTTTATTCCAAGTTGCCCTCTATTTCTCCGGCTGCCCCTGCACCTCTTCTTCCCCTGGATGATGCTTCATTCAATGGCTGAGGGTTGAGATAAAATCCCAAATCTGCATCATGCACAACAAAACTCCACTCCCATGACAAGTTGCAATTACGGAAGACAAAACATATTTCGGATGCTAAAAAGTGTCCCAAAAAAGAAGCCAGAAAAGTAGAAAAAATAAAAAGTAATATAGTGATGCGACTCTTAAGCAAGATGCTAAGCCTGTGATTGACCCCCTTGCACTGACGCAGGTCAAGACGAAGAGCTAATCTCATTAAATACCACTGAGACAAGAGAGAAAGAAGAGCAGCTGTCTCTACCACAATGCCACTCTCACTAACTGAGGGGCGGCTACGCTCAGTTACCTCAAGCACATAACACTGCTTACAACTCAGTCACTCACTTATAAAAAGGTCCACATGGTATATAAAAGATTTACCCTAATGGAGGAAGTGTTACTCCTATTGGTTAAGAATGAAGGTATCTTACTGACAAAGTGTAAAGATAGACCAATAGGCAAATTAAATAGTGATGCACTTAAGAAATTGAACATAGTATAGGCCTACATGGTTTCTTTGTCCCTTCGCAACCTTTTGTGGTTCATTTCCCCCTCAGGCTGTAGATAATGGATGGCCTCATTTTGAACAAATTGATAAAAGCATAAATTCCCTGGCGTGACATTTCTTTAGTGTAACATGATTTCTATGTCAAAAAGCACAGCTTGTGGCCATGCAGGAGTATATTCAAATGGTGCTGAGAAGTTAAGTTGTCCATATTATGAGCGGAAAATATATTGTAAATGATAATACAAAGGACTTCATTCTTAGCAATTACATTTTTATTGAAAACTAAAAACACATAATTACATAAGAAACACACAATCTGAAAAAAATAATGTTATGCTTGCAGTTTCCTTTCCAGGTACCCTAAAGCTGTCCATGTATAGTTTTTTAAAACCCAAATGATAAAATCTGTATCCAGATACTGGGCTTTTTAGGGGTGTGCAGTTTTTCTTGGCGTTCGGGTAGTTGAAGTCTTTCGTGGAGAAGTCACAGCGTCCCTGATGTTGGCGAGCAGGCCTCTTTTGGGTCTGAGCAGCATAGGGGAATTCTGGGAAAGCTTCGCCAGTTCTGATTTCAGTGAGGCGATCTCCCGATCATTTTGAACGTTCTGCCATAGGATTTCCTCCATTGATTCAGTCTAAAAAAATTAATTAAAAAAAATCCAAATTATATCCAGCAATCATTTCCATTCAGGTTGTTGGATCTGGTCACTGCTCAAATGTATTATTCTTAAAATGCATTACAAGTACAATTTGCCATACGTTGTATTTTCTTATCACCTCACCTGATCCTTGGACTTTCTCTGTAAATCATCTAATTCAGACGATTTCTCCAGGTAGCCATCTCTGGTGTTCTGAAGTCTTACATTGATATCCTTCAGTCTTTTCTCCAGGCAAATGATCAACTGACCAAAAATAAAGTGAAAATGATCACAACCAAGCCAACATTTAATTGGGACGCAGAATTATTGTATTCTTGTTACCTGTTGTTTATCCTCACAAATGCTGTCAATGGCAATTTTTTCTTTGTAGAGATGTTTGCATCGATCATCCCATGTGGGAAAATAAAGTGTGACATTTATATCCCTTAAAACAAAAGTTAAATGAAAGAAGATGGACAGAAGAGCATACAACCAATATTCATACCAGAGGGCATTTCCTAAGAAAGGACAGTGCCGAGACATCTTTATGAATAATATACCAACCTGCTGCTTCTGTTGATTTATATGGATGAGTCTGGCACGACTGGTCCACTGTTGGAACTGCACACAATCCTCCGATACTGGACGTTAAACCCTCCAACTCAGAAACTTTGCGCTTCAGGGTCTTCACAGGAAGTAAGACAGAAATTTGAAGTTTTATTGACAACCCAAAAGGGGGATATACCATACATAGCCAATTTGACAAACATTTCAATGCCTGAATATCGAAATTTGAGCAGTGCATGATTGCATTACATACCTCTACTTTATCCTGTTCAGCAATAAACTCATCAAAAGGTACGTAGTCATCTTCCAGATTGTTCATCGCACTCTGGTAGGCATGCTCTCTGATAGCATCCTTGTAAATCTCAAAAGTGTTCTCCAGCTTTTCTTCAAAGCTCTCCTTCAGCTCTTCTATCTGTCGACTACACATTCCAAGCAAACCTTGATTAATAAGTTTAGTTTCATTTTTACTTTGACAAAGGTTCACTAAGGGAAGTTGTTCCTGCCAAGGACCTTAGTTGCATATATGAGAGGGTTATGCATTTAGAACAAATGCCGAAACAATTACAAAAAATGAAATCTGTAGTATTGATGCAATACCAGAACTGAATCAAATCAGGTTTTATAGAGCACATTTAAAAACGATTTTTGGTCGAGCCAAAGTGCTGTACATGTAATAAAAACACTTTACTACAATAGCAACAGAAGACAATAATTTACAACAGCAAATATAAAAACAAAAACACAGCCAAATGTCAGGAGTCTAGACTAGAAGGCCAGAGAGAAGAAGTGAGTCTTCAGTGAGGATTTAAAAACCCCTAGGGTCTGGGCCGACCTCACATGCAGGGGCAGAGTGTTCCAGAGCCTAGGGCCAGCTGCTGCGAAGGCTCAGTCCTCTTGGGTTTTGAGCCTGGTCTTGGGCACTATCAGCAGCAGCTGAATAACTAGCCTTCTCTTGCAAATGAAAAATAACATACCTGCGGAGTTCCTCACTCTCCATGAGCTGCTGTAACATAGCATCCCCCATTTCATTTCGGATCTCCATTTCCTGAACAAGGTTTCTTTTTCGCTCTGCTAGTAGTTTTGTTCGCAGGCTCTCAATCATATTTGCAAGCTCCTAGAAGATTCAAAGTGAAACAGTTACTTGAGATAGTGAAGGTTAAACATTCCAAGACTGCTGTATTTATATTGGTCCTTTATAGTGTTTTGTGCTAGCTTGCAAACTAGTACTAAACTAAAACCACAAGCATCAATTTCATGGTGAGACTTTATAAGAAAGGTCAGGGGATCACTTAAGTCAGTAGGATCATCCTCTGGGGACCATGAATGTCTACAGAAGACTTTCGTTATTAACGACATAGTTGAGATGTTTCAGTGAAGTGCTAGACTGACCCTTACAAATGTTATAGATAACAGTTAGGGTTTGTCCTATGATGTAAATGGCATGGGACTGACTTATACTAGAGACATAATCAAAGAATGCCTGACATACCAGATCTCCGATACATTTAGGAAACAGTTTTTGAATGTGATATGGAGAAGCTATTGTACATTCTCCGTCGCCAAAGACATGTTTGCCTCGTCTTCCTCGTCCAGCAGCTCCTCCTCAGACAGGAAGCTCTCCAGGGCCTGGGTGTCCATCACCCCATTCTTCACCAGGGGCTTGCCATCACGGCCAACCAAACAAGGTGCAAGAGATTTCAGAGTCTTGTCTGGGATCACCTGCACCACCTACAGAGAGCAAAGGTAGGATTAGGACTGAAGTGAATTCAGCTCATTGTACCACTCCCTCTCACATCATTATGTACCCAGACCTGTTTGGCAACAGCAGAGAATTTCATAACATGGAGAGTCTCATCGTAGGTGGAAGCACACTGGTTAATGTTCACGATCATGGACGCTCTTCCTTTGCCGCAGAACACGGCCTGGAAGAGCTTGGTTAGCTTACTCTCTCTGAAAGGGATGTAGCTGTTCTTCATTCTGATGAACACAGGAGAAAGAAAACTTAAACAAATGTCTAAATTGTAAAAGGTCAAGGCTGACTTTCTTCACTTAAGCAACTGTACCCCTCAGTCTGATTGTTGCGTAGAGCAGTGAGGCACTTCCCCAGAATAAGCAGGGAGTTGTTGATGTTCCCTGCCTCCTTCAGCCTCTCGCCAAATGTCTTGGTTTTGTTACATCTTTCAGAGCCAGCCAGGTCACACAGAGAAAACCTGAAGGACAAGAAATCAATTAGTTTATTTTCTGTAGCTCACCCCATGGTGATGGAGCTATCAGAGTGGTAATTCAGGATGCCAATACAAACAACGCAAAAGCAGCGTCTGAATGTTAATGACGTTACTTACTCTGAGATCCGTGTAACTGTACTGTCATCGATCTTCAGTAACTTTATGGTAAATATGCTGTGGCTGTAAGGAAAGCTGGTGTAAGTTATGAAGACAGATAATGATGCAGAGTAAAAATGTGATGAAATGGAAAGATTGCCTTCTGCTGGATGACTGGTTCAACTTTGTGGCTGCGGCACTTCTGTTTTTGTTTCCAAACTGTAGTACTTTGGAAGCTTCAGCCAGGGTGAGGACGTTTATCCACCTGAGATCTGAAATCATTTAAAAACACACATTGTTGTTCAATGCCATCATAAGTTACACAAAAACAACTTCTGATATATATTTACAGATATATAATCTGCCAATTTAAGAACACTTGATTAAGTTGTTCACAAACCTTTGACATAACAATTTCCAGCACCATCGTCGCACACTCGAAGAGAAGACCGTTTCTTAGACTTGGAGCACAGGGAAGCTTGAAGCAGATCATACACACACTCATTGTAGATTTCAAAGAATGCTACCCATAATGCAAACTGGCTGCTGTCTGCTTCTGTTGGGTTGCTTGTCAACGCTAAAAAGAGAAGAACAAGAGAGCAGAAGACATAACTAAAACTTCTGAGAAAGAACCGGTAGCATTGTTCTGACCTTATTTGTTCCACTTGTGACTACACTCACCAGAGTCTACAGTGGGACAACTTAAATCTTAAACGGTTTATAAATTGCCAGACAATTAATGTTTAGTGTGTAGAATTAAAAAAGGGCTACCAGTTTAATTGTAGGATAAAGAAGAGGATGCGGGACAGTCGTCACTCACCAGAGCAGGACTCTAAACCGCTCGATCTAAGAGGTTCACACTCCTAGATGGGAGAAAATAGATATACATGTTAAAGCATTTCTGGTTTAATTCATTTTCAATTCTGAGGAATATTTTCAGCAAAGGCTGAGAAAGCATCTCAGGTCGGATATAATTCTCTCACTTCTTTGACTGAAGCAAAAATGGCCGCTTTAGCACTCTTCTCCTGCTTGACTTGGTCAGGGTCCAGATATTGGGCATCATTCCTGAGGTAGGGCTTCAGGTCCATCCCATCATACAGATGGCCTCCTATGTACTGAAAGGTGGCATCCAGCACCCGAGGGAGTATTCCCGGCTGTTTTGGAGTTCCTAAAACATATTATGTTCAAACTGGCATAGGACTTCATAGGACATGTGAAACTGATACATGTGCATTGCATTGTTGGTGTGTTTCCATCTTTACCTTGGATTGTGTAGGTTTTCCCAGCATTGGTTACACCATAACTGAATAGCAGTGCATTCTTCCCATCCAAGAAATCAGACATCTGGCTTTTGACTGTGGCCTCAAATATCTCAGACTGCATCATTTCTGGCCCAAAAATCTAAAAGCCAGCAGTAAAACAGTCGGTTGGATATGAATGAGAGTGCAGATAGGTAAATGTTTATACAATTTAAAATGCTGCAGACCTGTGAGAAGGAGAATTTGTGCAGCGACATGCCAATGCCCTTTTCACTGCTCTTCATGTTGGCAGAACCCTTTGGTGCATTCAGTGTCACAGTCTGGCTGTTTTCAATCCCTACACAGTCCTGAATGGGGAATAAAGCTAAATTATGCACAGTAGTTCATAAAAAAAGGTGCATTTTGACAACTTTTAACTTTCTATAACTGAGCTTAATTTCCCAAATAAGATATTCAGATCATAGGACCAATATGTTATTTTTTTAAAACACAATGGTCATGGATATTTATAATCACAGCTTATGTTTGAAGTTAGCCTTTTATTTCAATTACATGGATTAAAATGTAGTTAGAGGTACAGGGGATGTATATTGCAGTTAGGGACAGTGTCCAAATAAAATATAAATAATGCGGAGGAGGAGGCTCTTGCGTTTTATTGAAAGTAAATATAAAAGTGCCCTCCCAAAGTAGATTCCCTGGGTTGAAAAACCCTCTGGTCATATTTATCATGTTGCTTTTTAGCTACTGTATTTAACACTACATGGACTGCTTGGCACCGTGCTGTACCTGATCCTCCTTGTCAGAGAGTTCCTCTTTAGAGAAAGGCCTGACTCTGAGGTAAACTCTCATGGTCTGCTGCTCAGCTCCACCTGGCAGCTCAGTCTACAAACAAAGAAGACAATCACACTACAAATTAAACCTGAAAATATGAAGTGGACCACTGTTAGGTAAAAACAAAAAAGGGAAAAACCTTACCTGCTGGGATGAAGTTGAAATATACGTCATGTCCATGTCACCAGTTTGCATATATTCACTGTCATTGTCATTGTCTTCATTGGTTAAATTAACTGTACTCATTTTGAGACAAAGCAGCTCTAACAAGCCTAATGTACTGAACAAAGTAGTGATCACTTTTCTACACAAATGAAGATTTAGCCAAATGTATCTTTGGAAGACAATAGACAGGAAAATGGGCCCTTTGAAATGACTTATTTCACCCACATGTAGGTCGGCAGATGGAGGCGGAGCTTGTAGGCCTAATCAGTTTTAATTGAAAGCAGGTCTGAAGTCAAGCAAATCACCTAATAGAGATCAACCCGCTTCCAGGACTCCACTCAAGCTCAAGTTCAACAGGTATATGCCAAATCATCATTTGAGGATGAGTTTCTGAATATCCCCGTAGTTATAGGGGATGAAAAATGGTGGAATTTAAGTCATATGTGTTAACTTTCCTTTAACGGTCTCCTATTATACTGTTATTTTAGATGAAAATAAGGAGCCACTCCCCACTGAGAGATATTTGGTTAAAAAGAACAAAATGGTGCTCTAGGTGGAGATTCAGGTGATAAGGTGTTACCTTGGTTGGTTATTCGCTAATGGTTTCACAAGCCCAAAAATCGTATGACATAAAGTGGCCATAATCTGATCAGCTCATTTTCAGGTTTTTATATAAATGGATCAGGACAAAAAGTGAGCAAATCTTTTTTCCTGAAACTTTCAGAATCTCTTTACACATGTTCATGTGTAAAGACATGAAAAAGTGGATTTGCATACTAGACAACCTTTAATAGGCCAAATAAGAAGACTGTTTTTCTGTTACCAAAAGTTACAGCAATATCCTTGCAGATATTTCTAGACTGTTTATGTAGACTGGTAACATTTATAAAACAGATGCTTCATTATTTTGAAAATGACATTTTGTAAAAGGATACCATAGTTAAATATGATTTCCAAGCAGAAACAACATTCGTCCACAGCCATATACAACATATGCAGGATTATTTCATACAAATGACTGTTACTTGCAATAATTTTACTAGGTCTAATACGGCCATTAGCTTATTGGTTGCAATATGTTTTGCTATTTAGTCATTCTGTATCTATCACTTGGTTTTATTCCTAAAAATAGTCTGTACCTTTCAGATCCGAGCTATAAACAAGCAAGGGATATGACTTTATAAAAATGGGCAAAATAATGTGGGGTGAACTTATTTTTGGCATTTCAACTCTAACGCAGCTTTGATATGCAATGGTCATCTTCATTCCCATTCAAGTGGGCAGTCAGCTAATAACAATTGATTACATTTTGAAAACTGCACAAAGCTGTATAATACACTACCGAATTAGCGAGGAATTAGTTGTGGAAGTGTGGAGAATCTGCTGCCTGAGTGTAGTAAACACCGTTAGTTAAATTAAAGTACATCCGTCAGGTGAAACAAAAAAAACCCATTATGTTTACTAGTTTATTATTTTCAAAATACCTGTCGCACAAACTGCCATTTAAGGGCACTTGAGCTTTAAATATATGAATATGCTTCAGAAAGTAACAGCAGTCAATAAATACAGTTTTTTATTTCTTTATTCAGTCAGCTGCATCATTTATGCATCAGCGATGGTTACTTCAACCTCTACACCAGGTTCGATGCTGATGGAGGTGATCTGCTTGACGATTTCAGATGGACTGTGCAGATCAATCAGGCGCTTGTGGATCCTCATCTGGAAGCGATCCCAGGTTTTGGAACCCTCACCACAGGGAGTTTTCCTGGTGGTGATGCGGAGGGTCTGGAAGAGGGGGGGGGGGGAACAGTTTTAGCTTGAATCCAAATTGCCACATCGAAGTTACTGGGAGCCTATATTTCATTTATTAATATAAATACATTTCAGGTTTATGTATATCAGTACCTTGGTTGGCATGCGGACTGGTCCCTTCACCTTCAGGCTCTTCTCCTTAGCCCCACGGATCAAGTCTGCGCAGACTGATAAAAAAAGAAAAAAAAGAAAGACCGCTTAAAAAACACGAGCAAACAAAAATGTCCTCATGATATTTTAAAGCAATGGCTCAGAATAGCGTATATCACATCGTCATGGTTTATCAGATGGAAGTGTGTCTTCATCGCTCACATACAGGTTGCATTTCCACAAAGTATTATGAGTTTATTTACCTTTCTCCAGAGATTTTACATTGCGGCTGGTGAGGGTGATGCGGATGCGGTGAATGGCAACCTCAGTCTCAACAGGTGCCTTGCCAGTGTCCTTGAAAGCCTGAAAAAAATAAAATGAAAACACTAGTCTTGAAATACCATTATGTTTAAAGGTCTTTTAAAATGATATGAAACATTAATATAGGGTTTAATCCATGAGTTAATAGCATATGATGATTTAAATTGAATAAGCAAAGGTAGAACTTCAAATGGTTAAATTTCAAACACGCTGGATATGTACGTGAAGCACCTAAATGCATCACGACGAACTAGCACGTGGAATTCCTAATATTAAACTATTACGTTTACTAAGTATTTACTACAAACAGTCGTTTAAGATAACCCATGGACTAGTTCCACCGTCGATGCATGCACACAACTTGTTAATAAAGGGGACATCTGCTTTTTTTCTTTTTCCAACTATATGACACAATGAGAGCACTCCACTAACATGATTTAACTGCAAGCAATGGATGCAGGAGCAATTTTAAGTAAGCCGAATTATAGTGTGTGTCTTCATTTAAGATATACAATATTTCTTATGTACCAACAGGTTTATAATTGTGTTAAACCGAGGATTATTATTACGCAGTCCAGTTAGTGAATGATATCTGGCGGGACATCTACTTCGGGTAGCTTAAGCTGTAGCTAACATTAGCAAGTAGCCTTCATTAAAATCGTTTAGGTTAAGCAATGAAACACAAATTCACTACAACGACCCTTTGCTTACAAGAGAATAGTTATATTCAAACAACACATACCATTTTGAGTATCCCTGACCGACTTATTCGGAAGAAATTCAGACGAACAGCGGTGAGCCAGGAAAATAAGCTACCAACGTGGTTTAGCTCTTGAGAAAAAGGAACGAGAAGAGGCCCGTTTCCTGGTTATGTACTGCTCACCCGGAAGTCAGACACTTCTTCGTTAGTGTTAACTCTATATTCAACAGTGGCATCCAGTGGATTTAATGTTGTAGTTTTTTTTTTGGGGCAGTGACTGTTTTGTTTTTATCTTTTTGACAAAATCTATAGGCCTACCGAAGTATTATAGCTTTATTCATTACCAATTTGATGAGGTTTTCTTGATTATTTCCCTTATATTTCTTTATTTTTCTTCTCAAATACATCTCAGGGGTTAATATTGTACTTTCTTACTCTGCTTGGCTAAATTTTTCTGACAGTCAGATTTAATTGTTTAACAGATAACAATTTCTCATCCTCTTTCAGTCCAGTGGATCCATCTGAAGATGTTTTAATTTAGATTGTTTTCTTTAACAAAAAGTAAACTAAAGGATAAAGGATTCTTGTATGTTTTGAGAAAACCCTCCCAAAAAACTCATGCATCATCAATAGGCTAAAGATGATGAACATGGTGGCACAATGTAATGATCTTATAGAATGCGGCCTAGGTTATTTAGGTTAATTTAACATATATTTGGAAACAAAGAGCATAAAGAGACAGGTCAAACATTGGTCTTTAAATGGCCTTATGTTAAGGTATTTGAGACTGTCAACATTTTCCTTGATTTCATAGAAGGCTTCTCAATTCTCTAATTTCCCCTCCTCGACTCCCCTCCTCGACTCCCCTCCTCAACTCCTATCCTCGTGTCTTAGTCCCGCCCACAGGAGATGCGAGCGGAGGAGTCGAGGAGGGGAACCGTGGAGAGAGGAGTGGAAGCAGCAGGCGTTTAGAGAAATGAGAAATCCTCTCCTCTGAGCAGCCATTTCAAAGATACGTCCATTAATGATGACAGGAGGCACAGCAGCAGCTGTCTGATGGACAGATGTGTTCATGCTGATACAGCATCCAACTATCTGTTATGCTACGCACAAAATTCTTTCATATTCCGCCGGGTTATTTTGCACCTGTTCTTCTCCCACATTCCACATCGCAGAAACTCCGTTCAAACATCAAAACGTTCAGCTCGGTCGGGAATCGATGGTTATTACTTTTCTTATTCATAACTTACATAATTCCAGAGATACATCCCATAATTCATCAAACTTTTAACATGGAAGTCAATGGAGGAACTCTTCAGACTTGAACAATCTTCATGCAACTTCAACTGCTAACTGCTCCTTCATACTTTCACTCAGAAACCTCATTCCAACTTTAAAATGTTACACAGCACCTTTAGTTAATCTGCCAAAAAGGCCACATTATTAACCCGAAGTACACAAAAAGCACACTTGAGATGCTCAAGGTCCTTGAGATGCTTTACGTGTTGAAATTTCACCGATATCTGTAACGGTTCTTCAACAAAACGTTCACATGTAAGAAGTTTATCTCTCATTCATAAAAATGGAAACCTTTGATCTCTG